GGCGGTTAGTCCAATTATTTATTTTCTTTATGATTTAAATGGATCAATTGGCGGTTAGTCCAATTCGCGCGCCCAAACAACGCACTGCTACCAAATTGATATAGGCTTAGCAAAATACGATTATGCTTTATGAAGATTTCTGGTTGTTTTGTTTGTACTCACGTATGTTGTAGTTACGAGGACATCCCTTTAGATAAAAACAAATATATATTTATTTAAGGAACGACTTGTTCCATTACATATATTGTTAAGACAAGTTAGTGGTAAACAATAACAGCAAGTTTTTGAAGGTAGAAGTTGGAAGTTACGTCATAGTAGTGACGTCAGCATCTATGATGATTAAAGTCAAAGTCTGTGTAACAAAATATAATCTCATAACTTGGTATTTTAAACAAATTGTCAATGATATTGGATATATTTGTTTTCTATAATTTTGAATTTTATATTATAATATATGAAGAAAAAGATACATAAATATATATACCAAAATTCTTAAACCCGATCTTATTTCAATACACGCTATATATATAATTAATTTATAAGAAAAAGTTTCCAAAATGATCTGTTAAAATTTGTATACATTATCAATTATTTCAATATTGATTTATAAATAAAAATAAATATTAAAAATAGTAATTATGAAGCAATTTTATACGAGTAGTTGGCGTTGTGCGCCTCAGGAATCTGCTTTAGGAATATCTATATATTTTTTATTAAAAAAATTAGAGTCAATAAAAGAAAGAAATAAAATCTTTAAAGATTTGGCAACAGCTGATTAAATGAGCATAAACAACTAATAGCGATGAAAATAAACAAAATAAATAGGTGCACTTTTTTTTGATATTTAATTGATTTTATGTTCTTTTATATAGAAACCTTTATTTAGTGAAAAACCAATCAATTTAGCATTAAGTTAGTATATAAAACCACAAAAAAACAGTGTTTATTCCTAACAAAACATAGGTTACATACGTTTTATTTTCACTTTTGGTAAGTTTTTTTTTGTTATCACAACCTTAAACCTTTTTTAAAAATGAAAATAACAATTTTTAATTTTGCGTTTAAAATTTTATTTTATTAAGAGTTTGGAATGGTGCTTTTACAAGAATTAAAACAATATGTTGATGTTTATTTAACTTATTTTTTAGCAAATAATTTTAGCATTTATTTTTTATTAGTGTTCTTAAATTCACATTAAAATCTAAAAATATTTTTGAATTCATTTTAACTAATTTTAACTAAAAAGTATACCAAAAGCGACATATCTAATTTGATATTACCTTAAACTGGTACTAAGATAAAGAGACATTGAATGACCAGCAGAATAAATTTTAAATGATAAAATCTATTTTAACAAAAAACACAAGAAAAATGATTCAAAAATTTATTTGTAATCATAGAGATATAGGCTTATACTTTTTGAGTGACACATAATAAATATTATGTAACTCTTAACATAATGATTTTTTTCAATTTATTTTGATAGAAAATTGTATTTATTAGCTTGATTGTCTTAATTAATTTTTCTTGTATATAAATATCATAATACCATTAAGGTACTATTACTGTTTTTCCTGCATGTATCCTATAATTCTGCTTGAAGAATCTGTATAAGACTGTAAAAGGTTTTGATAAGGCACAATTTGGATTACAGATTATAGATACAAGAAAATAAGACCTAATCCAAATAATTTAAGTGTGTGATGTTTCTATAACAGCATGATGATGTTAACAATGCTGTTAACAAAACGTCACACACTATTAAATTTTTTGAATTAGGTCTTATTTTCTTGTAACTAAAAGGTCTTAATAAAGCATAAAGTAATAAGACCTAATCCAAATAAATAAATAATGCATGACGTTTGGGTAACAGCGTTGTTACCATCTTCAGACAAAAGTACTGATTATTTATTTATTTGGATTTGGCCTTATTACCTTGTGTTTATAATCTATAATCCAAATTGTGCCTTGTCTTAATAAAGCTTTTTATTGTTGTTGATAGAAATTTGTGATTATGTGTCAAAATCTCTGATCTAGAAATTGAGTTAAATTACAATTTATTTTCTTGAAAAGTAAGTTTATTTGGAGGTGTTCAAATGGGTTCCCAGATTCCTTTATTTACAGCTAATGTAATTCTTATATATTTATAAATGTAGGTAATTCTACTGTCCTCGAAGCTTATGTCCATAGTTCTTTTAAAATACCTATTCAAAGAGTCTAGCATCAGTATCACTATAAAAGGAAGTTCCAAAAATGCAATATAACACCGGTATGGTAGATTAAACTGGCGAAACTGCTGGGAGGGTTCACCACTGATGAGCCAGGCCCTCCCATTAATTTTTTTCATTGCAGTAAGGACAGTAGAAATTGTTTAATTTTCAAAAGAATCATACGCGTCTATAATAGTTTCAAATTTTGATAACAGATGGCGCGCTAATGCATCATAATATAATTACAGTTAATGTACAAAGTGCATCAATAAGACACAATTATAGATTTTCAGATTTTTTCCGTTTAATCATTACTCTTCACAATTCATCCTTTCATACTTCATTCCTAAGGTTAGAAATACATTTGTAATTATTATTTCTACTTAAAATAGATTTAGATTTTTCGTTCAAAAGAAATATTTGCAGTATAATTTTCAAACTTGATAAACACAAGGTAATAAGACCAAATCCAAATAAATAAATAGTGTGTGACGTTTCAGTAACAGCGTTGTTACCGAAATGTCACACACTATTAATTTATTTGGATTTAGTCTTATTACCTTATGTTTATAATCTATAATCCAAATTGTGCTTTATCACTTTCAAACTTCATGTTTAAAAATTTATGTAGTCGTAGAGGAAGAGAAATGATCCTTTATCTTCTTCTTCTTTCTTATCTCCACTCAATCATATTAGGATATCAAGTTGTGACCCATGATGGTGTCTGTTTGACAACCATCATGACTGGGTGAAGTAGAATGCATCTGCCTTTGTCATTAAGATTGGGAGCACTACTCAGTGGCAGGCCAACTTAGCTCCAAAAGAAATGGCCGTCTCTGACATGAGGAACAGACTTCATGTGCAGCCTCTCCTAACATGGAGTACAATTCCTGTATCCCTGGATTAGGAGCCCTTACAGGGTACTATCAGCCGGGCCAACTGAACCCAGGTTTTTTAGTGAGCTTGTTACTGCTCCCCCTCCTTCTTTTTCATCCCGGCTTGGAACCGGCAAAGGCAGAGTTAAGATCCTTTATTACCTAAAGATATAAAACTATAAAAGAAGGACAAAAAGATCAAACCAAATGTACATCAGCAGCTCACACCGGCCTGTCCTATTCACTTAACCACTAGCCAACCAACAAGGCCGCGCTATATGGGCAGATGTCAATTAACATAGACAATACTAAAACTCTATGCAAATCACAAGAGTATTCTATCGCAGAAATATTCCGGAATTGTAATTTTCAACACTTCATTCTACTACTATTAATTTGGGGGGTCGGTGGAAGGCTGGTTAAACCGTTTGGTTTTCGACCACTACGACCCAGGTTCGATTCCCGCATTGGACACTTTTTTCTGTTTAAAAAAAAAAATGCTCCAATGGCCCCCGATTCTTTCCAAAGTCCAACCCCACCAGCAAGTGCAAGTAACCAAACGGGGCTCTGGCACATTTGTAAGTGCAAAGTCGAACTGCTTTTCACATTTGTAGACATTTGGTGCGCTTACAGTAAAAGCAGTCGCTAACTACCCACCATGATTATCATGGCCTGTACCATGTGTACTAGGGATAAGCAAAAAAAAAAAAAAACTATTAATTTATTTGGATTAGGTCTTGTAGTTACAAACTGGAGTCTTATCAAGAAACAAACAAGAAATTCAAATATATATAATAAATGAAAGAATAGTACAAATGTGATATTGTACTGGGATAAGGTGCATAAAGCGGCCCTAGGATAAGGTGCATAAAGGGGTACTGGGATAAGGAGATGCCTTTTTCATAATATATAATAAGATTTAGAAACTCTCCAGATTGTGTGTCCCTTTTTTTATTTCATTGTAAGATGTTTTTTTCACCCCTCTACCCCCGATTCCCATTCTTTCACTTTGTTATCCACACTTTATCACATTGATAACAATGTCTGCTGTGGTGTCAGCTCAATGCAATCTCTCTTTGCTGTTTGTACTGTAGTTGGTTTAGTAAAGTAATGGAAACATACTCTTCGTTAATAGAAAGACCACAAGTTCACGGTGTTTTACCAGGAATACTTTGGGTGCTTCTAGTCAATTACCAATGAATACTTAAATATAAACACAAGGTAATAAGACCAAATCCAAATTAATAAATAGTGTGTGACGTTTCGGTAACAGCGTTGTTACCATCTTCAGACAAAAGTACTGAATGACACAAGGTAATAAGACCAAATTCAAATAAATAAATAGTGTGTGACGTTTCAGTAACAGCATTGCTACTATCTTCAGACTAAAAGTGTTGAATGAGAAAAAAATATCACCACATGTGATTTTTTTTGTTCTTTTGTCTGAAGATGGTAACAACGCTGTTACAGAAATGTCACACACTATTTATTTATTTGGATTTGGTCTTATTACCTTGTGTTTATAATCTATAATCCAAATTGTGCCTTATCAACTTAGAGTAATTGTTTTCACCTCCACTACATGATGGTGATTGATCATCGTGAGGATATCGTTGTAAGCCGGCAATGAGAGAGGAGAATCTGACTGGTGTCTTGATAAAGGTTTTGTGTGGGTGTTTTTTTTTTGCTTATCCCTAGTACACGTGGTACAGGCCATGATAATCATGGTGGGTAGTTAGTGACTGCTTTTTACTGTAAGCGCACCACATGTCTACACATGTGAAAGCAGTTCGACTTTGCACTTACAAATGTGCCAGAGCCCCGTTTGGTTACTTGCACTCGCTGGTGGGGTTGGACTTATGCAAGAATCGGGGGGCCATTGGAGCATTTTTTTTTTTTTTAAACAGAAAAAAAGTGTCCAATGCGGGAATTGAACCCGGGTCGTAGTGGTCGAAAACCAAACGGTTTAACCAGCACAAGGTAATAAGACCACACTTGTCACACACTATTTATTTATTTGGATTTGGTCTTATTACCTTGTGTTTATAATCTATAATCCAAATTGTGACTTATCGGTTTAACCAGCCTTCCACCGACCCCCCTTGTGTAGGTGTTATATCAATCAATCAATACCTTATTAAGATAACTTAAGTCTTATATACAGAATTTTCTGAGAGAAAATGAGTGGAGAATAAAGAGGGAGAAAAAAATATACCAAGTTATATGAGAAAATATGTACATTGTCACATTGATATTTTATACAAAGATATGAATTGCTAATGTTTATTTTGTATATGTGGCATTGACTCTTTGTTTCGAAGCCATCTGGCATCATCAGCTGTAGCCAATGGGCATTGAGGTGAATCATACCAGCACAACTCAAAGTCCTCTGAACTCATAATCCTTTGTGGTGAGGTCACCTTTATTTCTATAGATTATATTGTCAAGAAGCTCCATCCAGATGGGACACCTGTCAATCATCCCTGGACCCCGGGGGGGGACCATAGTAGTGAGGGGTTCTCGGAAGCTGATCTGCAAATAAGGAAAACGAGACCCCTTGGTGGCTGACGCCACTTATTATTATTATCTTTACCTGGGGATAAGTTGTTTTTATCATCTGACTCTCTCTCCCTTAAATACCTCTTGTATATAATTTTATTGGAGAACTAAAAGGTCCCTTTATAATAAATAAATTATCCCCAAATTTTCCCTTGCTTTATTTATCTCCGCAACAATATGGTTTAGTTTATTGGTCTTGTTACCTCTCTCTTGCAATTCCATATTCACACACGGTCTCATTGCATCTTACTTTGTGTTTTCCTGGTTTTTTGAATAATGGGCTGCGCTATGATGAGTGCCACAGCCTCAGCCTTTAGATGAGCTAATGGCTGCAGGATATTCCAACTTGGATTAATTCACATCCAGGTTGACTGCCAGCTAACTCTGTGAAGTATTCTTTGGTTCAGAGTCTTCTTCTTTCTTTCTTATCTCCACACTTGGTGAAGTAGAATGCGTCTGACTTTGTCATTAAGACTGGGAGCACTACTCAGTGGCAGGCCGACTTAGCTCCAAAATAAATGGGCGCCTCTGACATGAGGAACAGATGCCATGTGCAGCCACTCCTAACATGGAGTACAAACGCTGCTCATCCTGTATCCCTGGATTAGGAGCCCTTACAGGGTACTATCAGCCGGGCCAGCTGAGCCCAGGTTTTTTAGTGAGCTTGTTACTGCTCCCCTTCCTCCTTTTTCATCCGGGCTTGGGACCGGCAAGGGCGGAGTTATTGGTTCAGAATGAAAAATACAAGCTTGTCTTGGTAAATGCAACAGCCATACCATCAGCTGTGGCTGCAGGATTCCAACTGGATTGATTCACATCCAGGTTGACTGCCAGCTAACTCTGAAAAGTATTCTTTGGTTCAGAATGAAAAATACAAGCTTCTCTTGGTAAATGTAACAGCCATACCATCAGCTATGGCTGCAGGACATTCCAACTTGGATTAATTCACATCTAGGTTGACTGCCAGCCAACTCTGTGAAGTATTTTTTGGTTCAGAGTGAAACATAAGGGCTTGTCTTGGTAAATGTAACAGCCATACCATCAGATGTGGCTGCAGTACATTCCAACTTGGATTAATTCACATCCAGGTTGACTACCAGCCAACTCTGTAAAGTATTCTTTGGTTCAAAGTGATAATACGAGCTTCTCTTGGTAGACACAACAGCCATACCATCAGATGTGACTGCAGGACATTCCAATTTGACTTGGATTAATTCACATCCAGGTTGACTGCCAGCCAACTCTGTGAAGTATTCTTTGGTTCAGAGTGAAACATAAGGTCTTCTCTTGGTAAATGCCATACCATCAGATGTGGCAGACCAGGCTTTACAAAGAGCTAGGCTCTGCTCTGGATGATTCATGTCCAACTTGGCTTCCAGCCAGCATGTGGTGTAGAGGGAAGAAAGGGTTTCTGACGATGTCTGCTGTGCTAGCTACTGCTTGCGATGGAGTTCACCACCACCGTGTTTCCCTCCACAGACACCTTCACCATGTCTCCCGAGAACCACACCGACTCGGATGATGTCATCTGCAAGTGGATCCTCTACCGGGAGATCAGCGACTCCAGGTAATGACCATTACTCTACAAACTACTTAGGCATATCCCCCCCTAGTACAGTAGAACCTTCTCTTCTTTCTTATCTCCACTCAATCATATTAAGGTGTAGGATGTGACTCTGATGAGTCAATTACCATTTTTACTATTTAGCAACTCTCCGGTTGGAGGACATCTCTCCCTAAAGGACACTTTAGCTCTGCAATTAGGTGTCCTTTACAGGGAGGTAGTTCTACTGTAACAAAAGAAAAAATATAAAAGAACAACTAAATGGTTGGTTTTGTTTGGTCAGAGTATTTCTGAATGGCTGCAAATCTTGGACAATAACCATAGAAATGATGGTGGAAAAACAAACTATTTAGTTTTGATTTAATTTAGTTTTAATTTTATATATTTTTCTTGAGTTACAGTAGAACTTCCCTGTAAAGGACCTAATTGCAGAACCAAAGTGTCCTTTAGGGAGAAGTGTCCTCTAACCGGAGAGTTGCTAAATAGTAAAAATGGTAATTTTGTTAATGAAAACTGTCCTTTAGAGAGAGAGGTTATCCTCTAGCGTGAGTGTCCTCTCATGGAGTTTCTACTGTAGTAATATTTCCAATCCCCATTGATGACCTCAAAAAGGAGAGTTTTACTCCAAGTAAACCAGGCATGAGAGATAAGAAGTTCCAGATTTTAGACATTCCATGCTTATCCCATCACCTGACTGAGTCATAATCTGCTGACTGATTGCTTATCATCACACTGTGTTCACTTATTAGCCTCTGCTTATTGCTTTTTTAATAATTAAATATTTCCCCCATTTTATTGTATCTTTAAGAGAGCAATAGAGCCAGAGAGAGATGGGATGGGGTTTACTAGGTTTTATGCAAAAAAAGAAAATATGACCTAATCCAAATAATTTATTAGTGTGTGATGTTTCGGCAACAATATTGTCCCATCATCAGACAAAAGAATGACAATGTTGTTGTCGAAACGTCACACACTAATAAATTATTTGGATTAGGTCTTATTTTCTTTTATTATAATCTAAAATCCAAATTGTGCTTTATCGTTTTATGTAAAGGTTTTATTTCCACTTTTAATTCTAAGAATAATTATCTGTTTCTTAGAAAACTATCTTCTTCTTATCTGCTATCGTGTTTACACACTTGATAACAGTAACTATTTGCTGTGGTAAAATTTCTCATTAAGTACTTTTGTCTGAAGATGGTAACAACATTGTTACCGAAACGTCACACACTATTTATTTATTTGGATTTGGTCTTATTACCGTGTGTTTTATGTAAAGGTTTAACATCACAAATGATAATACAGTAGAACCTCCATGAGAGGACACTGACGCTAGAGGACACCTCTCTATAAAGGACAGTTTTAATTTGTAAAATTATAATTTTTACTATTTAGCAACTCTTCGGTAAGAGGACACCTCTCCCTAAAGGACACTTTGGCTCTGTAATTAGGTGTTGTCCTTTACAGGGAGGTATTTCTACTGTAACTCAAAACCAGGTTTGAAATATCCTGTCGTACATGCGACAGCAAGCCCATGCTCTAGTAGATAAATACATATGAAAAAGAAGATAAGGCACAATTTGGATTATAGATTATAAATACATGGTAATAAGACCAAATCCAAATAAATAAATA